TTTTGTTGTTGATGATTACTGGTACTATTACTATTATTCCTGTATGTACCCTACATTTCGGCTTTGTAGAATCTGTATAAGACTAAAAGGTCTTAATAAAGCTTTTTGTTGTTGTTGATTACTGGTACTATTACTGTTATTCCCGCATGTATCCTACATGTCCTTGGAGAATCTGTATAAGACTAAAAGGTCTTAATAAAGCTTTTTGTTGTTGTTGATTACTGGTACTATTACTGTTATTCCTGCATGTATCCTACATGTCCTTGGAGAATCTGTATAAGACTAAAAGGTCTTAATAAAGCTTTTTGTTGTTGTTGATTACTGGTACTATTACTGTTATTCCCGCATGTATCCTACATGTCCTTGGAGAATCTGTATAAGACTAAAAGGTCTTAATAAAGCTTTTTGTTTTTGTTGATTACTGGTACTATTACTGTTATTCCCGCATGTATCCTACATGTCCTTGGAGAATCTGTATAAGACTAAAAGGTCTTAATAAAGCTTTTTGTTGTTGATGATTACTGGTACTATTACTGTTATTCCTGTATGTACCTTACATTTCTGCTTTGGAGAATCTGTATAAGACTGAAAGGTCTTAATAAAGCTTTTTGTTGTTGATGATTACTGGTACTATTACTGTTATTCCTACATGTATCCTACATGTCCTTGGAGAATCTGTATAAGACTAAAAGGTCTTAATAAAGCTTTTTGTTGTTGTTGATTACTGGTACTATTACTGTTATTCCCGCATGTATCCTACATGTCCTTGGAGAATCTGTATAAGACTAAAAGGTCTTAATAAAGCTTTTTGTTGTTGATGATTACTGGTACTATTACTGTTATTCCTGTATGTACCTTACATTTCTGCTTTGGAGAATCTGTATAAGACTGAAAGGTCTTAATAAAGCTTTTTGTTGTTGATGATTACTGGTACTATTACTGTTATTCCTACATGTATCCTACATGTCCTTGGAGAATCTGTATAAGACTGAAAGGTCTTAATAAAGCTTTTTGTTGTTGTTGATTACTGGTACTATTACTGTTATTCCCGCATGTATCCTACATGTCCTTGGAGAATCTGTATAAGACTAAAAGGTCTTAATTAAGCTTTTTGTTGTTGATGATTACTGGTACTATTACTGTTATTCCCGCATGTATCCTACATGTCCTTGGAGAATCTGTATAAGACTAAAAGGTCCTAATTAAGCTTTTTGTTGTTGTTGATTACTGGTACTATTACTGTTATTCCCGCATGTATCCTACATGTCCTTGGAGAATCTGTATAAGACTAAAAGGTCTTAATTAAGCTTTTTGTTGTTGATGATTACTTGTACTATTACTGTTATTCCTGTATGTATCCCACATTTCTACTCGGAGAATCTGTATAAGACTAAAAGGTCTTAATAAAGCTTTTTGTTGTTTTTCTCGTCTTTTAACTCAAACAATTCTTAAAGATTATTTTTAATCAAGATGAATGGAGAAGCTATAATGTGCTTTCATTTCCTGGCCGTGAGGAATACAATTGCTTCCTCCTTCCCCGTCGTCTTTGACGGCGTCTTTTCCTTGCAGCAATATTCGGCGCTCTCTTCTGTGAAACCTGTTTTCTACCCCACACACTCACACCGTAGCTTCCCCAGCTATATTTCCTAAAATGTTAAAGTACGTCACATAACGTCAATAGAATTAAGTTTTAAAAAATATTTTTGCTTATATTCAGTGGGGAGAAAAAAATATATATATAGGAAAAATTAAGACAATTAAGCTCATAAACAGATTGGTATGGGTAAATACGAGTAAAAGATATAAATAAATAAACGAAGAAAACACTAGTATTTGCATATGATACATGCATACATAAGTCTTTATTAAGATCTTCTGTCTTATGCAAACATTTCTCAGCTGAAGAATGGAGGCTCTAAAAAAATCCCTTTCAATCAATCCTCAAATTTAGTAAAAATAAAAAAGTGTTGGGTGTTTTCTCCCTATATAATAGCATTCTCATACAAAAGGTTCAACATGAATGGGTGTACAAAAGACAAACTTAGCCAATATTAATAACGGTAGCGTGGCCGAGCGGTCTAAGGCGCTGGTTTAAGGCACCAGTCTCCTCGGAGGCGTGGGTTCGAATCCCACCGCTGCCACTTTTTTTTTTTTTTTTTCGTTTTTCATGACTTTCCAAGTTTTTATTTATAAGTCTACTAGACGAATGGCCCGGGCAACGCCCGGGTTTTACCCGAGTGCGAATATATTTTAAAAACGTTTTAATCTTCATCTTGTCTACACCTTGTATACATCTTGCTTCCTAGGGTTGCCCGGCAACGCCCGGGTTTACATGATTAAATGTATTATTCAAACACATTAAACATGTGCCCGTTGGCTGCCAGCGAGTAAATGTCGGCGCCCGTTGACTCCCGGCGAGCAAGCGACCGCTCCCGTCGGCTGCCGGCGGGCGAGTGGCTTCCCGGCGCATGCGCGCGCCCGTTGACTCCCGGCGAGCAAGCGACAGCTCCTGTCGGCTGCCGGCGTGCGAGTGCCTTCCCGGCGCATGCGCGCGCACAGGGAAGCCACGTGTCGCAGGCCGTCCAATGGGCGCGCCCCGCCATCAGATTCCACCGCGTTCTAGATGAGCTATTTAGAATAATTTGAATATATAGTTTTAATAATTGATTTATATATTTTTTTAAAATAGCCTATCGTCATCCTCGTTATTTTTTACCTATGTATTGAAATTTTGGTTTGAATTAGTGAACTACTGCGAATTTGTATACCGGATATACAAACCAACCAACCAACAAACATACAAACATTCATTTTTATATATATAGATATTTAAACTGGCGAAACCGCTGGAAGCGTTCACCACTGATGAGCCAGACTCTTCCATTAATTTTTCATTGCATTAAGGGCAGTAGAAATTGTTTAATTTTTAAAAGAAGCGTACGTATTTATATTATGATGCATTAGCGCGCCATCTGTTATCAAAATTAGAAACTATTATAGACGCGTATGATTCTTTTTAAAAATAAACCATTTATACTGTCCTTACTGCAACCACTGATGAGCCAGGCCCTCCCATTAATTTTTCCATTGCAGTAAGGACAGTAGAAAATTGTTTTATTTAAAAAAAATCATACGCGTCTATAATAGTTTCGATCCCTCAAAACAGATGGCGCGCAAATCTATCATTTTCAATTATGTAAATTTTTTAATTCTTATGTCCCGTATTTACATATTTCACTCTTTCCTTATGGGGGGGTCGGTGGAAGGCTGGTTAAACCGTTTGGTTTACGACCACTACGACCCGGGTTCGATACCCGCATTGGACACTTTTTTCTGTTTAAAAAAAAAAAAAATGCTCCAATGGCCCCCCGATTCTTGCAAAAGTCCAACCCCACCAGCGAGTGCAAGTAACCAAACAGGGCTCTGACACATTTGTAAGTGCAAAGTCGAACTGCTTTCACATGTGTAGACATGTGGTGCGCTTACAGTAAAAAGCAGTCGCTAACTACCCACCATGATTATCATGGCCTGTACCACGTGTACTAGGGATAAGCAAAAAAAAAAACTCTTTCCTTATAAATGGAATAGATAACCAATCTTCTGTATATGAATTAAATATGCAACAGATTTCTGGAGATGTTAGTTTCTTTTCATTTATTTTATTTATTTATTATTATTTTTTTTTTATCCCTAGTACACGTAGTACAGGCCATGGGTAGAAGTATGCGACTGCTTTTACTGTAAGTGCACCACATGTCTACACATGTTAAAAAGCAGTTCGACTTTGCACTTACAAATATGCCAGAGCCCTGTTTGGTTACTTACACTCGCTTGGTGGGGTTGGACTTTTGCAAGAATCAGGGACCATTGCGGGAATCGAACCCGGGTCGTAACGGTTGAAAACCAACGGTTTAGACCATCCTTCCACCGACCCCCCCGACCCCCCCTTCCACCGACCGTTTTTTTTTTATTGAATTCTCAAGCTTTACAGGAGTACAAATGAACAATTCTACTCCTGTAAGAAGATCGGTAATACCTGAAAGCTTGAGAATTCAATTTAAAAAAAATCAAAATAAAATAATCTCAAGAAACCTGTTGTGCATTATTTAATATATTTCTCATTTAAAATGATATATAAACTTTCTCCATTGCCTTGTTTATATGTTCTTGTTATCTGAAGAAGGAATTGTCCGAAAGCTTTTCCTTTAATCAAGTTCTTCTTCTTTCTTATCTCCACTCAATCATTTTACGGTATCAAGCTTGGAGAGCTTGAGACTTGATAACCATCATGACTGGGTGAAGTAGAATGTGTCTGCCTTTGTCATTAAGACTGAGAGCACTACTCAGTGGCAGGCAGACTTAGCTCCAAAAGAAATGGCCATCTATGACATGAGAAACAGACGCCATGTACAGCCGCTCCTAACATGGAGTACAAACTCTGCTCATCATGTATCCCTGGATTAGGAGCTCTCACAGGGTACTATCAGCATGGCCAGCTGATCCCAGGTTTTTTTAGTGAGATTTTTACTGCTCCCCCTCCTCTTTTTTATCCAGGCTTGGGACCGGCAAAGGCAGAGTTCCACTACACTTTGTAAACTGACTAAGCTGATATATTCAACATTGTTAACGATAGTTGTGTTGCAGATGTTTCGAAGGCTACAATGCCACTGTCCTTGCCTATGGCCAGGTAAGTCCGACTCATGGACGTCTTGCATGAGGACGTAAACTACATCAAAGCACACTTTCAGGTTCGCATCCTGTCGACTGCGTTTTTTTATTTTTTTATTCCCACGTGTTTTAGTGGCTAGAATACATGACTCTTTCCTATCCTTCCCAGTCTGTTCATAATGCTTTATATATATTTCGCTTTATGCAGCCATTGGGGCTTAAAAATCATCCAGTTTGGTTAGCAGCTCCGTAAATAAAGATATTTTTTATATTTGGCTCTCACCTAGGAGACCCGGGTTCGATTCCCGGCGTGGATTTTTTTTTTTTTTACTACGGCCATACCACATTGAAAACACCGGTTCTCATCCGATCACCGAAGTTAAGCAATATTGGACCCGGTTAGTATTTGGGAGGGTGACCACCTGGGAACAACGGTTGTAGCTGTAGGCCTTTGGGGCTCAAAGATCATACACTTCGGTTAGTAGCCCCGTAAAACTATATTTTCTCTATCTCAAAACACCTATCTGAAGTGTTAAACACATAATGCAATTAGATATTAACTATACAACGAAAATAATTGATCTTTACGGTCTCAAAATAGAGATGAATATTCTTTTTTTTTGTTCTTTTTCTAGGCTTGAATGTTCTGGAAGATGAATGAAAGGAAAGAGAACGATAGGAAGAAGAATTGGACTGATGAACTGGATAAAGAGGGTTATAGAAATAGATTGTTTTCATGATAGAGAAGCATTGCGCCTCTGGAGACCAGGGCATGCTCAAGATCAGGGTGAACTAAAGAAGAAGAAAATAAGATGCTATCCTGTTCTTGTTAATCTTTCTTTAAGGGTAGATTCAACGTAGATTCGTATATAGATGTTGGTACATGTCGATAGTGGTCAGGTTGAACTCAATAACGTGTAGATTCATGACCTGTTATTGGTCATCTCGGTACTGAAGTTGGCTGGCGTATAGACATCGGTCCAGGCATCCCACTATCCATTGGCACTGACGTTCTGTACTGTAAGTCCACCACATGTCTACACATGAGAAGCTGTTCGACTTTTGCACTTATAATTGTAAAACAACACTTTATGTGTTACATCGCATGAGTTTCTTTTCAATGAAAAATCAAAATTTATTTCAAGGTGAAATATTGACTATTTCTAACCTTTTTGGATGAGGTATGAAAGGGTGAATTATGAAGAGTAATGATGAACGGAAAAATAAAAGTGTCCAGGGATGGGAATCGAACCCACAATGTTCCGCTTACCGGGCAGATGCCATGTCCACTAGGCTACCCTGGACGTATTTTTCCATTCATAAATAATACATAAAGTAACTTATAATACAATATAATACACTGCGGCTTGTGATTGTAAAACAACACTTGAAGTTACACCGCATGATGTGCCAGAGCCCAGTTTGGTTACTTACACTCGCTGGTGGGAATTGATTTACAAGAATCGGGGGCCATTGGAACATTTTATTATTATTATTATTAGAAAAAAAGTTTCCTAATTCGGGATTCGATCACGGGTCGTAGCGGTCAAAAACCAACGGTTTAGACCACCCTTCCACCGATCCCCTACAGTATATGTAAACCTCCCCAAGGGTGAATAAATCGTCTAAAAACTTGTTTAGAGATGTCTACTTGGTTGCCGTACATCGTCTAGGGACATACAGGAACGTATAGCTCCGACAATCCTCCCGGTTTTGACAATGGTCGTAGACCACCAGGTCAACGCTCCGTAGACGACAACTGCTGTGTATAACGGTTGTGCGTGCGTTACATCACCGAGAGATTTCGACAGTCCAAACCGGCCGGAGCTCCCTCAGAGTACAAAGGCCGTAGAGAATGAGTTATCACATAATTCCGAGCAGGTCTACCTTAGGAGACTGACTGTGGGTTTGTGTGTGCCTTGCACAAGTCTGGGAGGAGTGTGTTTGACCTTCTTTTATCTCTCTTTCTCTTCTAGCTGGGTAGCTGTAGGAACTCTGTTCTCGTGGCCTGGAACACACTACTTCTGTGCTTCGACATTGTCGATCTATGGAACATTTCTTCATGTGTACATTAGAAAGATTCCTGCATGATAAAGGATGCCCCGCGAGTGTACAAATGAGAGAGGTATTATAAACAATTCCAATACACAGAGTTGAAAGTCGATCTTTTATTGAATATATATATAATACCATTAAGAAAATATAATAAATTTGTTATTTGATTTAAACATAAGAGGTTTGTTTTATATATATATATATATATATATATATATATATATATATATATATATATATAAGAAAAAGGCATCTCCTTATCGTGCAACTGAAAGTTGCTGATGGCTGGCGCCATCTATCGGAATAAATATCAACTATTCTCGTTGATTTTTAATTATTCCAGAATTGGCCAAATACCCATTCTTGATTAATCAAGAAAAGCTAACCACGGACGCGTTTCGGGCTGTTGGCCCTCATCAGCGTGGTGCAAGCTGTACCTCAACGACCAAAAAATTTGGTCATTAAGGCATCCTGAAAAATCAAGAAACGGGTAGTTAAGGCCAGAATTGCGTGAGGACGCTACACAATGTGAAAAAATAGCACAAATGTAACATTGTACTGGGATAAGGTGCATAAATTAAGAAAAAGGCATCTCCTTATCGTGCAACTGAAAGTTGCTGATGGCTGGCGCCATCTATCGGAATAAATATCAACTATTCTCGTTGATTTTTAATTATTCCAGAATTGGCCAAATACCCATTCTTGATTAATCAAGAAAAGCTAACCACGGACGCGTTTCGGGCTGTTGGCCCTCATCAGCGTGGTGCAAGCTGTACCTCAACGACCAAAAAATTTGGTCATTAAGGCATCCTGAAAAATCAAGAAACGGGTAGTTAAGGCCAGAATTGCGTGAGGACGCTACACAATGTGAAAAAATAGCACAAATGTAACATCAAATTCGGAGAATATTTTTGTTTCCCCCACGAAATGTTCAAGTTGTGGGGATGATCTATTAATCTGCGCGCGCAGTAATCGATTTTTTGAAAGAACCACTCCTCTTCTCAGAAAAATTCAGTGAAAATATGTTTACAATAAAAATTGACCAACTCTGTGGTTTTAGACATCATCATGTATGAAGTTTCACCAGTTTTACCTGGTTCCCAGATAAAGACATTTCTGGTAAAGCGGTGACATGGATTAGATGGCGCCAGCCATCAGCAACTTTCAGTTGCACGATAAGGAGATGCCTTTTTCTTAATTTATGCACCTTATCCCAGTACAATGTTACATTTGTGCTATTTTTTCATATATATATATATATATATGTCATAATATATACTCTTCCAGGAATAATAAAGCAAGCCTACAGTAAACCCAGAGAGAGACGGGCGGGTAAGGACCGGTCACTTTAGACCTTAGCGACATTCCAAGGGGCGACTACTGGGGCCCGTTATTTGGAACCTCGGGACTTTTAAGACAGTTGGGGATTGTGTGCGACACGAACGGACGCCCGACTCTCTCCCTCTCTCTCTGGTTGCCTGGGTTCCTCTACCAACTTGTGGTGTGATTATTTCTCTTCCCACCTTATTATATTGCCACATATATATAATAAATAGAAGGATATAATAGGAATAAAAAAGAGAGAAAACTCCAGCTTCGGCTATATATATTTATATATGTGTTAATGGAAGGCTAGTTAAATGGCTTTGTTCTAATCCATGTCACCGCTTTACCAGAAATGTCTTTATCTGGGAACCAGGTAAAACTGGTGAAACTTCATACATGATGATGTCTAAAACCACAGAGTTGGTCAATTTTCATTGTAAACATATTTTCACTGAATTTTTCTGAGAAGAGGAGTGGTTCTTTCAAAAAATCGATTACTGCGCGCGCAGATTAATAGATCATCCCCACAACTTGAACATTTCGTGGGGGAAACAAAAATATTCTCCGAATTTGATCTGTTTATTTGGTTCATAGAGTTTTTCTCAACAGTGTTTGATACAGAATTGGTTTGCTAGTGTCTTCTTCAGTCTATACTGTTGGCCAACTAAATTTAGCTCTTCCAACTTTTAGGTTGATTTCTTCCTCTAAGGACAAGAGAGTGTCCTCTTCTTCTTCTTTCTTATCTCCACACTGGGTGAAGTAGAATGCGTCTGCCTTTGTCATTAAGACTGGGAGCACTACTCAGTGGCAGGCCGACTTAGCTCCAAAAGAAATGGCGGCCTCTGACATGAGGAACAGACCATGTGCAGCTGCTCCTAACATGGAGTACAAACGCTGCTCATCCTGTATTCCTGGATTAGGAGTCCTTACAGGGTACTATCAGCCGGGCCAGCTGAGCCCAGGTTTTTTAGTGAGCTTGTTACTGCTCCCCCTCCTCCTTTTTCATCCGGGCTTGGGACCGGCAAAGGCGGAGTGTCCTTCTTTATAAGAATGAAGTTGAAAACTTATCCTGGCTTTCATTCTGTCCCTTTTACTGTTAGCCATCCCATTAGACAATTGACAATTAAAAATGGTCTAATGACATCTAGTCAATGGTCAAGAAAGAGTTTACAGAGTTTTAATTTTTTTTTTTTTAATGGAATAACTCTTATCAGGATCAAATTAGTATGAAATAAAGTATGAAGAGGAGCTTCTTTATACACATTTATTCGCGCTAGCTTTCGAACCTACATGGTTCTTCATCTGGCATGGATAGCTTTTTACACTAACAAAAGTACTGCAGCACAGGGACCTTATATACACCTAGGAGGAAATTTACATACTTAAGCTAATGGATTAAAAGAGATTATATGACGCCGACGTTAAAATTGGAATATTTACATATAAAAAACCGAAAACAAGATTTTTAAAATTATGAATGTATGTAAAAACAGCCAACATTGTTGCGACAAATGAGTAAAAGTCCAAGGGCACAACCAGGGGCCCCACTCAATGCCACAACCAATGGGGAGGGGATAGGGGGGGGGAGGAAGGGGGGGTGGGTGGGAGGAGTAGTACACACTATTAATAAAGGACTTTGTATATATCGGGAAGGTCTATTTTGCGGTTGATACTGTTGGTTTGTGAGGAAATAATGGATTCTAAGCATAGTCTGTTGTGTTTATGGTTGATATGTCTGTATTTAATGTGTGGATGTTCAAGATCAAAACTGTGGCCTGTTTGTGCGATATGGGTGTAGATTAGGGATTTTGTATCTTTGTTGTGAATATTGCGATTATGTTCTGAAATTCTGATGCGTGTGGTTCTGCCTGTTTCCCCGACATATGATGCTGGGCAATTATTGCACTGTAGGGAATAGATGGCGCCAGTAGAATCTATAGGGAGGGTAGGTCTATCTGATTTGGTAATGCTATTTCTGAGGATGGTGGTTAGGTTGGGGGGACTGTTGTATAGAACTTTGATGCCATATGGGCGTAATATGCGGGATATTGAAACTGCTTTGGGGGAAT